GAGAGAGAGAGAGAGAGAGAGAGAGAGAGAGAGAGAGAGAGAAGCCTTGGCAGTTCCTTCCCACCACAGAGTGCCTGGTTTGGAGGCCTGGTTCACTGTGCCCTCATGTATACCCATCTTTAGCCAGGATACTTTAGGAGAAAGTTTGCCATCTGTAAGGCCCTAGCTGTTTAGACAGTTTTTTTTATGTCTGCAGAGGACCACACACTCTCAGCGGACCCCAATACCTACACCCAGCAGACGGCGAAGAACAACATACATCATAAACAACAGAAACCACAAGCCCTGGGAATCTGTGCTTTGCCCCAGAGGGCACAGGGCTGAGGCTGCCCCAGGAAGAGACGAATCTAGTGTTTGCCTCCTACCTTATTTCTGGGCTACAGTTCAGATCACACACAAGATTGTTAGAGAAAATTCCCCGGGAACACAGTAGCAATTGCCAGCTGAGCCAGGCCAGGGGCGGGGCTTCCTGATGGCAGCAGAACAGAGTAGGGAAACCCCAGCACCTGAGAACTGTAGTCGACTGTCAGCTCTTAAGAATAATACTCATTGACATGCATTTCGTGGCACTGGGGATTGGTCAAAGCTAGAGTCAAGCTTGCTACCAAGCATTTCAAAACCCGTGCCAGGAGAGTGAGCCCGCCCCCGCCCCTGCCTGGAGACCCAGGACCCACAGACTGGAGACCCAGGATAGAACCAAACATGACTGGAGGAAAAGCAAAAAGGCATTGTAATGATTTCTAACAATATTCTGCTATACTCACAGGTTGGTGCCTAGCCTAACTGTCATCAGGGGGCTTCATCCAGCAACTGATGGAAACAGGTGCAGAGACGCACAGCAAACATTAGGCAGAGCTTGGAGAATCCTGCAGAAGGATGGTAGGAGCCAGAGGGGCCAAGGACATCAGGAGAAAACTCACAGAATCAACTAACCAGGAGCTCACAGAGACTGAACCGACAGCCAGGGAGCCTGCATGGGACTGACCTAGGCCCTCTGCATATACGTGACAGTTGTGTAGTTTCATCTTCTTGTGTGACTCTCAACATAGGAGTGTGGGCTGTCTCTGACTCTTTTCCTGGCTTTTGGGACCCAACTCCTCACAGGGGGTGGTGCAGACTGGAAGGAGAGGAGAGAGGGGAAACTGTAGCCCGAATATAAAATAAATAAATTTATTTATTTTATTTAAAAAAAACAAAGAGCCGGGCGTTGGTGGCACACACCTTTAATCCCAACACTCAGGAGGCAGAAGCAGGCAGATCTCTGTGAGTTCTAGACCAGCCTGGTCTACAAGAGCAAGTGCCAGGACAGACTTCAAAGCCACAGAGAAACCCTGCCTTGAAAAACCAAAAATAAATAAAGAAAGAAAGAAAAGAAAAGAAAAATTATTTTCCTTTCCTTCCTTTCTTTCCCCTTTTTTCTTTTTTTTTTTTTAAACGAAGGTCCTGGCAGTGGGAGCCATCTCACCAGCCCCATTTTTTTTTTTTTTTTAAAGACAAGAGTGTCACTCAGGTGTCTAGCCTGCTCTTAAACTCAGCCTAGCAGGGGGCAAGCCGCCGCGTGGCCCTCCCTCCTCAGCCTCTCCAGTTGGAATTGCAAGCCTGCACCACCACCAGGTCTGGCCTGGTGTGATTACTCTCACGCTGTCCAAAATGATCACGTCCTGATAAAAATCAATTGGGTCTAATGGCAGAAAGTCCTCTTTTTCAAAAGGTCAAGGCTGAACCGGAGTCGGCTGTATTTTCTGAGAAACGGTCTCAAGAAAATGCCAGAGAGCGACCGGGGGCACCAGCGGTGTGATGGACAAATGGACCTGCCCTCTGACCTCCAGCTTGCTCTGTGACTTTGGCAAGCAAGTTCTGTCCAGCTGGAAGGGGCGTGGGGGGGGACCAGCTTTGTCTTTTTTTTTTTTTTTTTGGGGGCCTCTCCGGGGGGGGTTTTTTTTTTTTTTTTTTATGTGGGTGCTCAGGTGAGAGGGCTGTGGAGCACGTGACTTAGGATAATTGCTGCTTGCCACAGGTCCTCGGGGACTTTTGACTCACCTGCCTTGGCTAAACGGGATTAAGAGGCTTGAGAAAGAGGAAGTTCTGCAACATTCATTCCCGGCTCTCAGTGGCAGCCCTCCCAGCCCCCCACTCACACTGGCTGGGCACACGCACACCCACCCCACAGCCCCTCGCGC